AAAAAATTGACAAGCAAAAAAAAAAAAAAAAGAAAAAGAAAAAAAGAAAATCAATACATGTACTCGAAAATCCTATTTCGGTAAAGATGTCCTATTATTCTCTTTTAACTATTTTAGGCAGTAGAGCTACAATGCAGTCAAAAAAATTCTGCAAATAGTACTTGGCATATTTTATATTAATAATTGGTATAAATGACAACAGATGGTCAATTTTCTGTTAATATTCCGAAATGTGTATAAATTGTAGTTTATGAAATGTCAACCAACATAATATGCACTTGACGTTTGAATAATTTGTTTTTATAAAATCCCATATGTATGGCACGCCAAATTCACAAAAATGAGCTAATCATAGTTTCAGAGTTGAGAAACTAGGTTTATCAACTGTAAACTATAGTTTACGGTCCGTAAACTACAGTTAACGATGATAATCTATATTTCACATCTGTAAACTATATAGTTTACGCGATTATAATTTATGTTTTACAGGCATTAACTATAATTTACACTGAAAACAACCATTTGCTATGGCACGCCAAATTCACAAAAATGAGCTAAACATGGTTTTACAGTCGATAAATTAGGTTTATGGGTTGTAAACTATAGTTTATGGACTGAAAACTGTAGTTTACAACGTTAATCTATATTTTAAACCATAGTTAACGCGATAATCTATGTTTCAGAACCGTAAACTAAACTTAACACTGAAAACAATCATTTGCGATTGCAAAACATAGATTTTCTGATAAATATAGTTTCATGATTTGTAAACTATGGTTAACAACTCTTAACTATAGGAAACCATCTGATAAATATAGTTTCACGATTTGTGAAACTATGATTAACAACTCTTAACTTATAGTTCACTATTGTAAATTATAGTTTACAGACGTGAATATATCTTTATCAACAAAATCTATTGTTAACGTTTTATTACAGACAGATAAACTTAAAACAACCTAAGTGTTGTTCACGAATGTAAATCTTAGTTTACAGATGTGAATCTGTGTCAACAAAATCTATCGTTAACGAGTTAACGAATCGTTAACTATAGTTAAGGGTTCGAATTATGGCACGCCAAATTCACAAAAATGAGCTAATCATAGTTTCACAATTGATAAACTAGGTTTATCGGTTGTAAACTATAGTTTACGGACTGTAAACTATAGTTAACAACGTTAATGTATATTTTACGTCTGTAAACCATAGTTAACGCGATAATCTATGTTTCACAACCGTAAACTATACATAACACCGGAAACAATTATTTGTATGGCACGACAAATTCACAAAAATGAGATAATCATAGTTTCACAATTGATAAACTAGGTTTCGACTGTAAACTATAGTTTACAAACCGTAAACTATAGTTAACGATTCGTTAAGTATAGTTTTCATCTGTAAAACTATATTTAACGGTTGTTAACTATAGTTTACGAATGTTAATTTAAGTTTATCTGTCTGTAATAAAGCGTTAACAATAGATTTTGTCGATAAACATAGATTCACGTTTGTAAACTATAGTTTACAATCGTAAAGTATAGTGAAGAGTTGTAAATCATAGTTTCACAAATTGTGAAACTATATTTATCAGATCGTTAACTATAGTTAACGGTTTGTAAACTATAGTTTACAAATCGTGAAACTGTATTTATCAGATAATCTATGTTTTGCAATCGCAAATGATTGTTTTCGGTGTTAAGTATAGTTTACGGTTGTGAAACATAGATTATCGCGTTAACTATGGTTTACAGATGTGAAATATAGATTAACGTTGTTAACTATAGTTTACGGTTTGTAAACTATAGTTTACAACCGATAAACCTAGTTTATCGATTGTGAAACTATGATTATCTCATTTTTGTGAATTTGGCGTGCCATATATTTGCGATTGCAAAACATAGATTATCTGATAAATACAGTTTCACGATTTGTAAACTATGGTTTACAACTCTTAACTATAGTTAATTGTTAACTGTTAAATATAGTTTCACGATTGTGAAACTATAATTAACAACCCTTAACTATAGTTTACGATTGTAAATCATAGTTTACAAACGTGAATCTATGTTTATCAACAAAATCTATCGTTAACGCTTTATTACAGACAGATAAACTTAGATTAGCATTCGTAAACTACATGTATAGTTAACAACCGTTAAATATAGTTTTACAGATGAAAACTATAGTTAACGAATTGTTAACTACAGTTTACGGTTTGTAAACTATAGTTTACTGTTGATAAGCCTAGTTTATCAACTGTGAAACTATGTTTAGCTCATTTTTGTGAATTTGGCGTGCCATATCGAATTCGTAAACTATAGTTTACAGTCGATAAACCTAGTTCATCAACTGTAAAACTTTATTTAGCTCATTTTATGAAATAGGCTTAAGCTTGCCATACATATGATATAATTACAGTATGTTTATATTATTTAAAAACGTGTAAAATAAAGCATGTAAAAATATAGTTTTTTAAAGACTTTTATTACGAAACGAATTATACGAGCATATAATGTTCTCAGTCAAACCAAATAAATTACATAGTGTGGAATATCAAACACAATAGGTAAATTCACCTCAATTTGTAGCTGCAGATCTGTAGCATTATGGTTTTATATATTTAGTGTTTGAAATGCTACAGATCCCGTAATGCGTAAAATGTGTTATTTACGGCGCAATATTTTTTTGCGCACTGTTTGGAAGAATTTCTCCCCTTTCCAACATTGTTAGATTATTTTACCTTTCCTTCCATAATTCTAGACACATTTATAAAGTACATCTGTATGTTTTATCCACCCCCAATCCTTTATATGTGTCTGAAATTAGGGGGTGTAAGGTAAATGATTTACCAAAGTTGGAAAGGGAAAAAATTCTCCCAAAATAATGCGCAAAAAATCTTGCGCCGTAAATTGCACATTTTTTGCATTACTGGATCTGTAGCGTTATGGTAAAACCATAACGCTACAGATCTGCAGCTACTCAATTTGATACTAAAAAAGGCAAATTCCCAAGGTGAGATCTAACTACGAAAGCGTATTAGGGCCGCAGCAGTATTTTTTTTTTAAATTTGTTTTAACAAATTATTAACAAATTTTGTTACTAATTTGTTAAAACAAATTAAAAAATATAGTAATTTGTTATATCAAATTAGTAATTTGTTTTAACAAATTATTAATTTCTTAAAACAGATTACTAATTTGTTATACCAAATTAGTAATTTGTTATAACAAATTATTAATCTGTTTTAAGAAATTAACAATTTGTTAAAACAAATTAAAAAAAAAAAGATACTTTTGAGGCCCTAGTACGCTTCTGTATCTAACCTTCCCCCTCCATTTTTGTTTTGAAATATAAAGAGCTCAAAAGCACTTATTTCGGTAATAAATTTTTAACCTATAGTACACTGTGGGTTAAAAAATTATTATCGAAACAAGCCTTTGAAGATCTACATAATATTGCAGCTCGTTGTCGATGTTGCATACGTGTCGTATTGCAGAGAGCCATAGTTTTGAAGGCTTGTCCGTATTGATTTTTGACGAATTCAGGTCACTAAATTCAAAATTACTGGCTATTTTCGAGGGATCGGGCACCTGGAAAGTAAGCAAGAAAAAAACTCTTTTTATAAGATTTTTTGCAAGAGAAATTTTTTATGTAATTTTCTGTAAAAATATAACTCTCCGATTACTTTGCTATGGAAACCCATTGAGGACTGAACTTCTAAAACATGAGTTTTATTTGTGGTTTAACAAAATTATTTTATTCCTTACTCGTTTTATCCGAAATATTTATCATATATTTACATTACACTTATATTTTGCATGTGTTTCCAGTGAGCTCTGACATTCATATAGACTGTGTAAAATTTCAGTAAAGAATCTTTTAAAGATATCTTCATAAAACTTTATACTCTTGTATACAATTTTTCATGTACCATTACTTATGAACCCTGCGTGTCGCATTTGGATCCTATGGACAAATTCCAGTTTTTTTTAAAATAACTTTTCTTCTAATTTGTAAAACTCTTCAAGTAAATATAAAGATGAATATATTTCAAACAAATTTTGAATGAAATCTTATATAGCTTTTGAAGTCTTTGTGAAAGGTAACTACATGTAGTTATGTAGACTAGTGATCTTACGGCTTTGAAGCGGAACGGCCAGTCCCGATTTGCCACGGTCAAAATGCAATGACCTGGTTGTAACCCCATATACACAAATAAGTTAAATTTATATATTTAGTGCACCTAGCACGAATTGTTCTTTGCCAACGTGATCTGATATTTGTAAAATGCGCAGTTTTGATTGAATGGTGCATGAAAACTGTTTTGAATGTTTTCCTTCTTCCCGTTACTGTTGGCTTCTCAAGGTAAGCAGACATTAAATGACCCAGATATTTGTTCTGCATATCCAACGCCTTTGGCGAATTTGTTGTTTTTTTTTAAATTGCAGATTCAACATGGATTTGAGCATGTTCATAAACCCACCTTTTGATGAAATGGACGCGGAGGCAAAATCAAAATATATTGGAGACGAAATAATGAACTTTTTTAGACCGTCAAGAGATAACGGCCCCGAAGGAGCTCTTGTTGTTATTGTTTTGACAATTCTAGCAAATATTTTTTTGTTTGTTGCTATTTTAGCAACAGGAAATTTTAAAAAATCTTCAAGTTTACTGGAATTAGCAAGAGGATTATCCGAAGTTTTACTGTTGGTATCCATTGCAGTGCAAAGTACGAGGAATATGTACAACACCACGGAGACTCCGAAGGCAGTATCTGGGTTTGTTGCCTTCTGGTTGTTCTCTATGGGCTCAGTTTGCTTCGGACTGATGAAAGCGTTTACAGGATTTTTGAGGTTTACCGGGAAATCATCATTCTCAAATCTTGTTTGGCTGATCATTTTAGCCGTTTTCGCCATCTCTACTTTCCTAGCATTTATTGTTCTATGTGTGATGTACGTGGCTAATGTTCTGGCTTTTGTTGTTTTGGCATGCATATTTTACTATCTACCGTTCATTGGAATGTGGGTACTGGACGGATTGAGACTACTTCATCTTAGAAATCATTCCATCAAAAACGTGATGGAAATGGAGACGTTAACAAGAGATAAACCCGGGACATCCGAGTTAAGTCGGCCGGAACATTCGGAAGGAGAAGCGCAGTTTTTGAAGCCGATGACAAACTTTGAAATGTTCATTGTTATATTGTATGGAATTTGTCATACAGTAGCGTTTGCCATGGTTACTATGATTATCACACGAATTGCCTGGGTGTTCTTTCGACCTGTTTCTACAGAAATTCGTTTAGAGTCTGTGCCTGGCATCCTCTGAATAAGAAAAAGTTTGTTGACTACAGGGTATATACCGATATCGATGTTTACTGTTTATGTACCTTTAATTATGTGCATATGAATAAACAATATTTCCATTTCTATTTTTTTTCTCTGTGATAACTCTTTAAAAGTTAGAGGACTTAATTTCTTGATAACTCTACCGGAATGTAAATTAGACAGGTCGATAGGTCAGGAGCTAGGGAGGCCTAATATGCATGCAAATATCGTGCGCATCTGTCCCTTTGTCTGGCGCTAAGGAGGCCAAATATGCATGTAAATCTCGTGCGGCTGCCTTTGTGTTTGTCGTCAGTGGGCAAGGACTACATTGAAATTGGCATGGAAGTCCTCGTCTAATTTAAATCTGTGTCTACATTTTTAAAATATAAATCTACAATTTTATTTCACAATGAAATGGAAATATAAGGAATCACTGTCTAGTTAGTACAGTATGCCAGGACATCAACGAGAGTGGGAAACATGGGATAATTTATGCACAACGGGCTTCGCCCGTTATGCAAATTATCCCATGTTTCCCACTATCGTTGATGCCCTGGCATACTATACAAACTAGACAGTGATTCCTTAAATAAACTACGAAACAAACGGAATGAAGTTTAGGGCATAAATTGTTTGTATTCTCGGATATGAGATACATATGAAGTGCAATTTTAAAGCTAAGGATGAGTTTTGTAAGAAATGACCGTTTCAAATGGATTTCGCCACACAAATCTTCTTATTGTATTAAATCAGTTTTTGACAATTAACCATAAGAGGTCGATCCTTTAAATTTTCTGGTGCTTTCTATTCATGAACAGCGTTCTGCTTCAGAATGCAGTATGTATTTTGCAAAATTGATGAATGGTCTAAATATTGAATGTAGAATAAAATTTTTGAACATGACGTTCTAAATTTTATATTTTCTGAACGGGAGTAAGTACGAAGCATCGGGGCGGGACCCCCCCCCCCCCCCCCCCCCCGAATTAGGATTTTCGTGTTTGAACAATTTTCCTTTCAAGTAAGTTGAATCCACCTTTTCAAGAACGTTGCTGGGGTAAATACTAAATGAAGTCAATTTTTCTTCATGACCGAGACTAACTGCAGAACTTTACAGTACATCGTTATGATTTTATTGACCATTAAATGAAATATTTAGCTGTAATATTTCATTTATCAGGACCATTATTCATGTATTTTGGTTTTTCGTTAGATCAAAGCGTCTTCTTCATTATTATTTTCAAGGTACATATGTATAAAGTTTTCATTTCAATGTTTTCATGAAAACAACTTGATACAATGAAGCGCATTGAAGTGGTAAAATTTTCTGTTTGGATGAAATGTTCTGAGTCATGTTTTGAACGTCAATTATAACAGAATGACACGCCCATTTCTTTAGAAACGAAAAAGAAACATTTGTCGTAATGTTTAAGGACACCCCGCTCTTCGTGACAAACAACACGAGTTACACCGAAATGCAGATTTTTAAAGTTATAAGAGAGAGAGATTTATAGAGTTCCCGTTGCTGTAAAAGACGTATTGCAACGATTTTGTCCATAAAATTTTATGACTTTATCATGATAATTGGAGTTACCACAACACATGTATCGGTCGAACACGTGCTTACTCGGTGTTTATGTAGACCGTATATTTGATTAGCTATTACATTTATGGAAACCTGTTCTACAGGTATTCGAATGACCCATTTGACCGATTTTTCCTTTCTAAAGAAATGGGCGTGTCATTGTATGACAATCATTGTTCTAAAGATAGCTCAAAACGTTCCAGTCAAACGGAAAATTTTACCACTTCAATGCGCTTTATTGTACATATTTGTTGCAATTTGAGTTTTACAGAATCGGGGAGTCTCTAATTCTTTCTTCTATTTTTTTAAAGCTCCGTTTCAGTGTAACTCATGTTGCTTGTCGCGAAGAATGGGGTGTCCTAAAACATACGACGAATATTTCTTCCTCGTTTCTAAAAATATGGACCTGTCTTAAGGGGGATGTACGGCCACTTTTAGTGCAGTGAGAGCAAAATGTAAACATTTCTTCAAATGGCTAAAATACATTATATTTTGATCAAATTTTAAGTCTTTTTGATAAAGATACAATAAATATGCATAACCGAATGCATGTTGTGCATATATAATCTATACTTTTGCAGAAAAATGCTTTTGATATGCTCCTTAGAACTGCGCAGCTACAGAATTCAGCAGAGCCTTAAAAAATCCAAAAAAATATGCAAACTGTGTATAAATGTTCTCTCTACAACCATTTGTTGAGAAAATGTCTAAATTTTGCACTTTTAAATGATAATTTCAAGTTCAAAACAAGGTACCGTTGTCTTCAAAAAGAGTGTAAAGAACCATGAAAGTAGTTCATGGATAGCAGCACGTGGTCTATTTTTAGCACAGAATCTTGTTTTCCAGACCTCTTCTTAATATGGAGGGGCATAACAATCTTTAAATGTAGAAGAGAATTACAGTTGCAAAATATTTCAAATAATATGAACACTTTTAAAAGAGGAAAGGTGTTATAGTGTGGCTTGAAGTAATTTATTTAGTATTATTACCGAACAGTTGTTAAATAGTTTACGTATTTATATAAAAAAAAATTAAACTCTTTGATTCCAGGTAAGGAAAAATAAGCACCATCAAAGTTAAAAATTAAGAGTTTGTAAGTTTGCCACAGATAAATTATATTATCTATTAAAATTTTAATTATCACCAATAAAACACAAAGAAATTAGACACATAAAATTGATACGAATGACCTTGTTTTAGTACCTACTAGTACGAAGCGTTATCAAAAAGTTCGCGAAATATCTCTATATCTACAAAACCACCATTCAGATTAGAAAGCCAAACACAAGTTCTATAAATAGCATATGCTGAAGTTTTCTTCCTTGTTTGTGATGTCACAATCTGAAAATGACGTCATTATTCAGGTACTTTTGACGAAAAATGGTTGTCTCAGTGAAACTCGTTCAACAAACGACTATAATATTTATGGCACATGTATATCTTAGAAATGCCTTTGAAGTAGCGTATAAGAATTTGTTCACAGTTTATTAAATGGCCTCCTATAATTTCAATCAATGATTGGATATCGTTTTAGTGAAGGAAGGCAGGTGGTTAAATATGATACTTGTTATGTTGCCCGGTGAAAGCAAGTTTGAAAAGGGATGTGTTTTTTTAAAGCAATATGCTATCAAAGACCTTCAATTAAAATTTTACACTTTGAAAAATACTTGAATATTTCAACAATAATATAAATATCAAATACCTAAGATATTGTTTACTTTTTTATCACCACTCGTATACTGTGTCAAATAAACATGCATTTACAATTTTCATTACAGAGGAGCAACAGTTGAAAAGGCATGAAATCATTCAGAGTGGGTTAGGAGATTTAATGAATAATTTTTTTTTCTATTTGCCCATATTTTCAAAATTACAAATGTACAAAGTAAAGAGAAAAAATCAACATATAAACATCTTTAAAATGATGTTTGGTGGTCCTTCCAACTCAGGGAAAAATTATTGGGTCCGTATTTATAGGTGAGAAAAAAATTCCTTAAAATTTAAACAGAATTGTTGACGGAAGAAAAAGAAAAAAATATCGTGTAATGGGATGTTAAAAAAATGAGTCGGGCCATTTCTAGGTAGTAGATCGGGAGAGAGGGCAACCAAATATTTTTATAACAAGTGGTCTTATAAAGCTAGTACATGTTCCATCACATACTTAGTAATGCAAATTTTTTTTAATCTTTGACACTATTTTGAAAAACAAACATAGGATTTTCGGGGCGGAGGGGGGGGGGGGGGGGGGGGTTAACACTCACTTTTTTTGCGATGATAGACTAGCATATGAATGGACCTTTCTTTGCAACATTGTGCTCGCTTCTAAATTTCATAGAAAAAACTCATTATATTTTATCAAGCTTCGTATGTTCAATGAGCGAGAGCTTACAACGTTGTTAACATAATGAGACATGATGCTTTTTTGTGTCCAAACATGACCCCATACAATGTGTGGGTCATTGCAAACATTCTAGCTATTTATGTGAGGTGCCTGAAGGAAATCCTATAACTGCCTATTTTTTCTATCTAACTTCTAAACAAAATAGACATAAGTACCAACTTTTCGAATGTAAGACATGTAATTACAATTTATTTTTCATGCACTGCATATTGTTTAACATTTTCAAATTAAATGCTAAGCATCCTCCTTGCAGTGCCCCATTTGAAAATAACTTCTATCGCCACAGAAAAAAGACCCTCCGTAAACACAAATGTTTAGGACATTTTTATCTTTTTTTCTTGAGTTTTAAAGAAACCAACAAATTATCAAGACTTGTTCCATAAAAAATAAATATAATCATGGTAATAAACGGATCTATCCACAGCAGATATATGCACATGTCAACCATGTGCTTAGTGGAATAATATTAACGAGGAATTTCGAGTTGTAAACAGGACAGTTTTTCCCGATTTGCTGGAGTGAGGTTAAAATCGCGTTTTTTCATTAATCAGACGATGCGATGCAACAAATAAAAGTAGTAAGTAATATAACCTGATGATTATTACTTAGTAATTTCTTGTCTTGATGTTATTATGGTCGCATTTATTCTAAAATCATTGTTATTCGAACTCTGTGTGACAGAGGAATGGCGGACGAAATAAACACATGGCCTCAGGAATACACCCATATGAAAAATCAAATTTTCAAGAATTATGGATAATGACAAGAAAAAAACGAAACAAATGGTTGTAGCCATATTATCAATGAATCAAACTAACTCCATTTTCAATGCATTTTTCATCTCATGAATGCTGTAGCTGCGCAGTTCTAACATGATTAATTTTCTTCTAATTAAGACAAAATAAACTTAATTATTTACTAATTTTGGTCTCTAACTGTAGGTAATTAGTGCATTAGCACTTTGAGTAACTTTGAGCTAGTTTAGTAGAGTATTAAGCGCATTCTTGGTATTTCTTAGTTTACAGCAGACTAGATCCAATATGGCTTGTACATCCCCCTTAATGTTATAATTGACGTTCAAAACATGACTCAGAATGTTTCATCTATACAGAAAATTTTACCACTTCAATGCGCTTCATTGTATAAGATCATGGATTTTTAAGATGGGCTGAATTAGCATTTTCCTATTCAACCTCACGCTTAATTAATATCTAATTGTAATGCTAAAATACTATCATTTTGAACCCTTCTTTTACCAGCAGCCTGTAACGCCTGCATTGAGGTGCCGACTGTTTCCTGCTCTTTATTCACGGATGAATGGTAAGTGAGGGAAGCAAGCCCTTAGAACATCCCATGAAATACAATGAAGCGCATGGAAGTGGTGAAACTTCACGTTTGAATGGAACGTTTTGAGCTATCTTTAGAACGTTTATTGTCATATGACGACACGCCCATTTCTTTAGAAAGGAAAAATCGGTCGAAATGGTTCATTTGAATACATGTAGAAAAGGTATTCCATAAATACAATAGCCAATGAAATTGACGGTCTACATAAACAACAAATAAGCACGTGCACGTGTTCGACCGATACATATGTACAATGAACCACTTGACCAATTTTTCCTTCCTAAAGAAATGGGCGTGTCATTGTATGACAATCAACGTTCTAAAGATAGCTGAACACATTCCATTCAAACGGAAAATTTTACCATTTCAATGCGCTTCATTGTATTTGATAGTCCCTAATTCTAGACACATTCGTTAACCAACCTGTATATTTTATCCACCTCCCAACCCTTTATATTTAATTTGTCGCTACAGATCAATGAATGAAACTTGTTTGCTTTGAATTTTATTCCATGGCAGAAAATTAAAAAAAAGTTTATGGATTTGTAGAAACGACTATAAATGAATGGGAGGAATACTAATTATTAAATATACAGGTTAATTACAGAATGTCTAGAATAGGGGAGTATAAGATACTGATAAGATACTATTTGATTGAACAATTCTGGAAAGCGGAGAAATTCTCCCCATCAGTGCACAGAAAATCCTGGGCACCTAAATTGCACCTCATTTGCATTACGTATATATGGGGTCTCTAGCGTTATGGTCAAAGACTAATATATAAAACCATAATGCTATGTACAGTTTTGCAGCTTGACATGACATGAAATTATTAATGGGTAAGAATTGTTGATCTGCACCTTTGTAATATATAAACTCAAAAATTGATAATGGTGCTTGACTTCACTGTTAATTGCTTTATACTGCAATAAATGTATTTTAAGGCCTTGTTTTGTCTGGTGGGTCCGCGTGGTGCAGTGTTTACAGCATGTCGGATGGGTCCGTATCGGGCAGTGTTTACAGTATTTGCTCCAGAGTTGTGTTTATAGTCATATTGATCTTTTCAATACTAAACTGATTTGTGCTTTTTCTTAGCCAATGTGCTCTGGTGAGCGATATGGCTCATGGGCCTCTTCTTCCATATCCGACCAGGTGTCACATGATTTATATTGGAGGTTTTTGTATAGAGTTTCCATAATGTCGGACTGTTATAAAGAGCAAGAAGAAGACAGACCTGGGCATAAGTCAGTCAGATCAAGCCTAAGAAACCCTGGTTTTAAATAAACTGAGATGGTTCTGATGTTGATATGGACTATTATCACACTTTTGGCATCTGTCAACTCGGCTCTGGAAGCTTGTGCAAGAAACGGTACTTCAAAAGCTGGAATTTGTATTAATTTCTTCTTTTTTTTTAAAAAATTGTGCACTATTAATAGTGTAAATTTTAAGGCTATTTCATCGGGAAGTTTTTGAAGGTATTCACTATTCAGAGGTTACAAAATTCTATATAGACTCACCGTAAGTTAGCTGTAATATTTCATTTAACAGGACCATTATTCATGTATTTTGTTTCCGGTTTTTCGTTAGATCAAAGACGTCTTCATTATTAATATTTTCAAGGTGCATATGTATAAAGTTTTCATTTCAATGTTTTCATGAAAACAACTTGATATGAGATCATGGATTTTTAAGATGGGCTGAATTAGCATTTTCCTATTCAAATTCATGCTTAATTAATATCTAATTGTAATGCTAAAATACTATCATTTTGAACCCTTCTTTTACCAACAGCCTGTAATGCCTGCATTGAGGTGCCGACTGTTTCCTGCTTGCGCTTTATTCACGGATGAATGGTGCTTCTCAGTAAGGGAAGCAAGCCCTTAAAACATCCCATGAAATACAATGAAGCGCATTGAAGTGGTAAAACTTCCCGTTTGAATGGAACGTTTTGAGCTATCTTTAGAACGTTTATTGTCATATGACGACACGCCCATTTCTTTAGAAAGAAAAAAAATCGGTCAAATGGTTCATTCGAATACCTGTAGAACAGGTATTCTATAAATATAATAGCCAATCAAACTGACGGTCTACATAAACAACGAATAAGCACGTGCACGTGTTCGACCGAGACATGTTTTGGAAACTCCAATAAACATGAAAAATTCATAATTATGTACAAATTCGTTGCAATACGTGTTTCACAGAAGCTGGAACGCTCTAAATCTCTCTTATAACTTTAAAAATCTTTATTTCGGTGTAACTCGTATTTCTTGTCGTAAAGAGTGGGTTTGCTAAAACATTACGACGAATATTTCTTGTTCGTTTCGAAAGAAATGGGCGTGTCATTCTGTTATATGTTCGTTTCGAAAGAAATGGGCGTGCCATTCTGTTATAATTGACGTTCAAAACATGACTCAGAACGTTTCATCCAAACGAAAAATTTTACCACTTCAATGCACTTCATTGTATTTTCAGGAGTCCAACGGAAACGTGTTGACGCAGGATCCATGGCGTTTTGAGGATTGAATGCTTTTGCTATTCACTGACGTAGAAAATCGGGATGATTTTGTTTACTCCCTTTTTTACCATACTCTGTGATAACTTAACAACACAGCTTTATGATGAACTTGATGACTTTAACTTTTCAATCGTCAACTTCCCTTACTTATGCAGCAATATAACCTTATCACCTGCATACTATTTTGTTTTTTTTATATTTCTCAGTTGATTCTATACGTAAGAGGATGCTGTATTTTCTAAAACAAGGCATAATACTGAGTGACTGACATTTTTCATACAAACTGTAAGGCTGTTATTTATATTCTGAATTGTCGACAGAATTTTTCGTTACTTCCTGATCAAGACAAGGAACACAAGATGGGTGTGACCAGTCGCAGAGGATCCATTGAAATGAACATTTCATCACTGAATTGCAATATGTCCGGATTATTTTTCATATATGTCTTTAATTTTCAGAATGTCGGGATGATTTATACCATTGTCTGGCCGTCAACAAGACGAACAAGGTGTGTCGGGATACAGATAGTTCATGTAGGGCAGACGGAGAACGCTGGGAATTCAAGAAATGCCTGACCTTAGAGTGCCGCAGTCACAGAATATCGGTCATCAATGATAGTATGTTTGCGTTTTCTTACCAGTTGTGTCAGAGAATAAGAAATCGGAGTTGAAAAACAAACTTGCGACTAAAATTAGAAATCGGTTGATCTGAGTTTATTTCAGTTTTATTACAGAGTGTTTGAAAACTGTTAAAGAATGTTTGACATTAACAACTGAAAACCAAATGTGTCGTGACCAGCACGGTAGGTGTAGGGAGAACGGAAGTCGATGGAAACACAGATGCTTTGAGATGATGTGTCAGCAAAACAAAGTGTCAATCATAAATGTCAGTGAGTATGACTTTATCTGTGTGTGGCGGGATATTCAAAAAAGATTATGCAAAAAAGTGCATGGAGTCTTAACAAACCGATAATTGGTCGGAATATTGAATACAACTAAGTATGTAATTTTCTTTTTCCTTTTCAGAATGCTGCATCCGAAATAAAAAAGGTAATCTTTTTTATCTTTTGAAAATTTATTTTCTGTACTATCCATTACCCCCCCGAAAAAAAAGATTGATATAATATTTGATATGTTATTTCAATAGTTATTATACATTATTCATATATGCACAATCCGATACGTTTGATCGTAGTGTTCATTTTATACTTTTTGGTATACAGATGGATGTGTAAGACCGTTAGTTTGCCGTTTGCCAGGGGAGATTTGGACAATTCCAGGCACGGGGACGCACCAGACATGCAAAGTGAGAAAGAATAGAAGGGGACGTTACACATTCCATTATTACACCCCGAAAATATGAAGACATTTGTGCAAGCAAAGTGAAATTAAAATAAGCATCATAAAATAGAGTTGGGTTTCAATTCCAAACGAAAAAGTGCATTAGACCTATAAAGAATTTTATTTTTAACCCAACAGTTGCTCATTACCCTTTTCCTCAGACTACAGCAACCAGTTTCAAGATCAGTATATAAAATATATATGAATAATATTATAGGGTTATTGAACTTATATTTATATAATAGTGTTGCATTATGCATGTACTATGCCTAAATAGTAGGCAGGGTTTGACACATGGTGCACGAGCCGGAGGCGAGTGCACTATGTGTCAAACCCTGCCTACTATTTAGGCATAGTACATGCATAATGCAACACTATTGTTATTATTATGCTGACTGTTGTAATTATTTATGCGGCAATCTATTTGACTTTTTCCTGAAAATATCGGTGCTTAAACAGCGCACTTGCAAGAACTCATTCAAAATATTCATGCTAAAATTGTTTGCATGCTTAGTTATTTTGGTTACTAGTATTTTCTCTAAATAAGTCGGGATTTTCTGTCCCAAAGCAACACATCTTTATTTTCTGTTTTGTTCTTAAGCCTTATTTGTTTGCAGACGTCGATTCTCATTGATAATTTTCTTTTACATCCTTCAATCAAGCGTCATATAAAAAAGCGTTTTAATGACCCTATAAAATCAGTTCATCTAACGATCTGTATGTAATTAGTTTGAAAGTTTGTTGTACACATTAATCTAAAGTTCCTTAGAATAATATAACTGTTTTCAAATAATATTTGTCTATTTTCTCCTTCTTGTGTCAATTGTATAAATTAAGTTTATATATTTAATAAATTTACGACATTTAGTGATCGTCTCTATGGCGTAATCGATAAAGCATCGGGCTGACAATCTTATGGTCGTGAGTTCGATCCCCAACATGTGCATGGAAGAATTTTATTCAGAAAACTAGGAGACTTATTGTTCACAGAACAATAAGAGGTCTTTCCACCTTCTTGAATTTCAAATTTGTTTTATATCTGTCTCCTTGAAATCAAATTCCATGGAAAAGAAACCTAAATTGTCTTAATGAATAGAAAAAATAAAAATTTAAAAAAAAAATAGGATGACCTTGAACTTTGACCTTGAAAAATCTTCAAGGTCAAAGGTCAAGGGTCACAATGCAATTGACCGCATGCTTCTACGACTTATAGTTTTCAAGTTATAAGGTTTAATAGTAAGTACAAAGAAGTTAAAGGGCAATAACTCATATAAGGGGTCATCAGATCCTTTCGCTCTTATACAGTGAAGTTAGGCGTAAACACCCTTAAGACATAAGTGAAAGTTTGGTGTCTCTACGGTCTATGATTTCGGAGGAGTAGCGATAACAAGGTTTTTAGCACAAGGGGCAATAAATTTTAAAGGGGATAATGTTAGGGGACAAGAATGAAATCTTTGAAACAGTTTCAAGAGTCCATATAAATGATGCATAGACATTATGTATATGTTGAAAGACAAAAGAGATATAAAATGAGCTAAATTTCTCATTTTTGGAATGACATTGACCTTTGACCTTTACATGGATTTTAAGGTCAAAGGTCAATGAATTTTATTCAGTTGGTCCCATGTCTCTACAACTTGTTGTTTTAAAAAAAATTAATTATTTGTAAAATTTAAAAAGTTTCAGGGGCAATTACTCATGGAAGGGGTCTTTGGATCCTTTCGCATTGAATACATGAAGAGTCCTCTCAATTAGTCAAAGACTTTAGTGAAGGTTTCATATCTCTACGGCTTATGGTTTCGGAGAAGTAGCGATAACAAGCATTTCTTGTGAAAGGGGCAATAACTTCGAAAGTGGTCAAGGTTCATTTACGCAGGGTCAACTGCAATAATCTTTTACGGAGTACATTCTTATGGACTATAAATCTCTTTGATATATCTTGAAACTCAAAATCACACGGCGGAAAAATAAGAAGAATAACTAGGAGACTTATTGTTCAAAGAACAATAAGAGGTCTTTCCAGCTTTTTAAGTGTTTCCGTGTCATTTGGGTTGAAAAAAAGAAGAAAAACGCCAATTAAAAAAAAAAAAAAAAAAAAATTAAAAAGTGCTGCCAGCAGGATTCGAACTGTGGACCCTCAGATTGCAAGGCGAACGCTCTATGCACTACGCCACAGCCTCCGATGAAGTTGGTTTCCGTAAACTAACAGTGTAGAAAAAAAGGAAGAAATGAAAACACGTGGATTTAAATAAAAATAGAAACGCGTGAAGTTTTAAATAGTACAGAAACACGTGTATTTATTTGTTTGTGATAGAACATAGGGAGGAATAATGAATAGTTCTAAGAAAAACGATTGGTGGATATTGAAAATGGAGATTTCCTGTAAAAAAAAAAAAATTCGAGTTTGTTTATAGTTTGAATAGATTGAGTTAATCATACAGAGCTTAAGATACATTCGAACCTCCGTGTCGGCACTGTGTTTACAATTTGTGAAAATATAGGCACGTTTGTTTTGACAGATATGGTGAACTCATAGGTTAGATTAAATAATCATCTCTATTTGGATTGAATTAATAGTTATGAGCATAAATTAAACTTGAAACATGCATTTCATGAAGAAAACGGTGTCAGCGAGAGCGTGGAAATTTATTTGATAGAAAAAATCCCTATTTTCGAGATTCATCCGATTAATATTAAATCTAAATAAATTTCAAATAAATTCCACATTCTAAAGAGAGCAAGAATACTTGGTATTAAAATGTCGTATTAGAGCAGGAGAATCAAATGCTATTAACAAAAATTGAAGAAATAGCCAAGGCAAGCTTTAATTAATTTTTATGCTCATCAGCACTTAAATTTTAGACAGAAAAAAAAATGTAGTTTTCGCCGATATTGAATAGAATTTCATTATACTTAAGAGACTCACCGTAAAACTCTCAGGACACTTTCTTTGAAGTGTCTTCTACATTTTAATCTGAATTTCATGTCGATGTGTGATCTCCTTTAAGCTGTACAAAATTTGTTTATGTCACTATTGATTTTTTTTTTTTTGAGAAAGAAGGGGGGGGGGGGGATATAAGCATTTGTTTAAGAGAGAGTTGTAAATACCTCCAAGACCTTAAGCATGATTGTGACCTTTGGGTCAATGGGGTCAAAGGTCAAGGTCATTCATCAAGGTCAAAGGTCAAGGTCATCAAAAAAAAAAACCCACTTACAGACTTGAGTTTTACACTTGAAGCTGAATCTAGGTAAAGGTTATGAATACATGTATACCTTTTTAACTTTTGAGAAAAGGTCAAGGTCTAAGGTCAAGGTCAAATATCAAGGTCAAAGGTCAAGGTCATTTTATTAAAAACCCGTAAATAAGCAATTTTGATACTTCCCAATGACCTTGACCTTTGACCTTGACCTAATCTTCAAGGTCAAAGGTCAAAAGATCTGATGCAGTTGGACCCATGTCTTTACGACTTGTCGTTAAGAAGTTTTTACTTCTTCGTAAACATCATAAACTTGCAGGGGCAATAACTACTTAAAACGGTTTACGAATTCTTTCGCACTAATAGAATGAGAAGTGTACTAAATTAGTCGCAGACATTGTTGAAGGTTTTGTACCTCTACGGTTTACGGTTTCGGAGGAGTAGCGATAACAAGGGTTTACACTGAAAGGGGCACTAACTTTTAGAGGGTTCAGTCTTAGGGGACTAGCATGGAATCTCTGAAATGGGTTTAAGAGTACATACTAAAAATACAAAGATGTTTAGAATTTGGTTAAGAACAAAAGAGCTATAAAAAATGCTTAATTTTACATATTTTGAATGACCTTGACCTTTGACCTTGACCTAGATTTTAAGGTCAAAGGTCAAGAAATCTTTTGCAGTTGGTCCCATGTCTCTACGCCTTGTCGTTTAAGAAAAGATCTTGATATTCGTAAACGTTGCAAACATTCAGGGGCAATAATTCAATCTAGGAGTTTACGAATCCTTTCGCAATGTTTGATTGGAGAGTCTACTAAATCAGTCTTAAACATTAATAAAGGTTTGGAATCTCTGCGGTTTATGGTTTTGGAGGAGTAGCGATAACAAGCTTTTATTGCAAAAGGGGTCGTAACTCTGAAAGGGGTCAAAGCTCATATACGCAGGGTCAACTGCTAAAATCTTTTACGGAGTACATTCTTGTTGACTAAAAATCTTTTCGATAAATCTTGAAACTCAAAATCACACGGCGGAAAAATAATAAAAAAGAAAAAAAAAACAGAAGAAAATCAATAGGTCTTTCCAGAGAAAGCTGGAAAGACCTAATAAGAAACAGAAGAATACCAATAGGTCTTTCCACGGAAAGGTGGAAAGACCTAATAAAGCCGTGCACTATTTCGGCATAGTATGCTTACGCTATATAAATCCTTAGACCACTATGCGAGAATAGTAGGGTATGGGTTATATAGAGACAAACTGACAGGAAGCATAATAATGGTGAATACTGGCACAAGTTGGCTGTATAAATGCACGAGATTGCGAGTGCATTTGTACAGCCAACGAGTGCCAATATAATTATTCACCAATATAATTTTAATAACTCCTTTATTATATAGCTAAAACATTTCCTCATAATTTATAATAATTATTCCAACTTAAAAAACTCGAATGATTTTTTTTAGTATCGGTATTCAAATTAACGACTGTCCTGTAAGTGATCAATATCGCATCATTCCGATGACCCAACCGAGCGTTATGATTTGCTTATTTAGGTTTTAATGCGTCTAATTAGAATACAGTGTACGTACTAAATTTTTAATAAATAATTTCATTTTTGTGTATTAAAAAAATAAAATAAACACATCTTACCTAGATGCCACATCCTTTCTTTAATTTAGCTCTGAGAATTTGACCAGGCGACTTTTTTTGTTTATAAGAGGCGTTCGATATTGAACGCTCGTATTCGGAATGTTTAGGGCATACTCGTATACGTAACACAAACTCACCGTTCAAGAAAACTTCAAGATAATGAACGCTAAAATTCTCTAGATTTTTGGTGGTATTTTATTTGAGACTATTTATTAGCTTTATAATAAATAAAGATATTCGTATTTTAGCAACATATGCCACGGT